GCCATGATCATTTTCCGACAATGTTTGGATTTCAAAATTACTTTTTTTGTTTCTATTACACCACGATTGCATTCCTCACTTTAATCACAAATCTCTCAACATAAATATGATCTATAAATATGTAAAAAAAAGAATGCACTATACTACTTTTCTGTATACATGACAGGGTATTTAACAAATGCTTTTCTTAAAACAGTAAACAGACGGTAAGTGCCCCACGATAAGATTCTTCCCAGTAACAAATCCTGACATCCTCATCCAATCCTGTGATTGTACCCCCCCACCTTGCCCAGTCAGGCAAGGTTAATATAGGATCAGTCAAACAAGATTAGCCAACTGTTGAACCTAATGCTTTGACAATAAGCCGACACGTTCTCTCTGTACTTGAGAATATAGCCAACCACACAGACAGCAGAGACAATAAGTGAGGAAATGATCAGATGTTGTTTTTCAAGACAAGAAAGACAATTAATCCCTTTCTAGGCTGCATGTAAAATCTTATTATATGCACTCATTAACCTTGAACAGGAAGGCACAAATTAGAGCATGATCCTCTGAAAGGCAGCATTAAACAGGTGACTTCCGTCACATCTTTCAAAACAAAACTAATTTGTTCTCTTATAAATTCAACTTAATATTACTGCAATTGATAAAGTGAAAGGAGTTGCTGTAATTGAAGTGCGTTATTGATGATAGCACATGAAAAGGGTATAATAATATTAATAATAATAATAATAATGGGCTGTTTCTTTATGTTTTACATTAACTTCTAAGAGTTTTTGTTATCCAAAATGAAAAACACCTTTTTGTTTCATTAATTTGTTTCTTCGTGAATTTAAAAAGACATGTTAGGATTCTATTGTTGGAATCACCTGTTTAGCCTCTTATGTTAGCATATGATCTATGCATTAGATATGATAAGGGTATAATAATGCGCTGTTTCTTTATGTTTCACATTAACTCAACATTACATTAACTACTGCGAAATGAAGAATGTTTTCTTGTTGTTTCATTTGTTAATGTAAAATCATGGCATGTTAAGATTCTGTCTGTTTAGCCTCTTGTAGCTTAGGGTTTAACTCAGTGTGGTATAAGGTTTATTTTTAAAGAAGTCACTAGCTCGAAGTGGGGAAGAAATGAAGGTCAAACCCGTTAAATGTTTGAATTATGAAAGTAGAAATGTATAATTTAAGTTAAAGAGAAGTTTAGGCTGAAGAACATCCGGGGTTTTCCTTGATTCCCCTCTCAGGCGCACGCGACCCTGTTACTTAGCATTACCTTACTGTTTAATGTTTCTCTAACTTGACTCACCTTGTTTCAAATATCGTCCACGTGGACTATTTCGTAAAAACCGTAAACAAAGTCCCTCCGTTCTCGCCCTAGCTCCTCCTGAACGTCTCCTGAGCTCCAGCAGCAGCCCGCCGATACAGTCCGTTAACCTCCCCGGCCGTTGGTTCGAGTCCCGGACAGGAACACCAACATCACATCGTGTCCCGGTGGTCACCAAACAAAAGCTCTTCCCCTCTCCGTCTCTTAGCCTAGCCATCGATCATCTGGAAGCTCTACTGGGGGCTTCATCTTCCACCTCCTCCTCCTCATCCCCCATCCATTTCCTCCACTGCCACTTACACGTTAAACCCCCACCCCCGTAGGCTACATTTATGTCTCATCCAGAGGATTTGTTTCCTTTCAAATGTATAAAAGCCTTTGATAAAGGGTGTTCTTTAGAAATGCTTCAACTATGCACTCACCATTAGACTGCAATAAGAATCCTTATAATTTATAAATGTTTAAGAGCTCGTTCAAGTGCTTATTCAGAGCTCAGATTATGCTCGGGCTAGTTTAAGCTTCTTTGTGTATATTAAGCTTCTTTATTTAAGAAGACAATCCAGAAGTTAGTTTGTGCAATTAATGTGTTGTTGAGTGTCGCACCCTGGTCCATGTCGTTTTTTTAATAATACCAGTGGCAGTTCTAGACTAATTGTACTGGGGGGGCCGTGATGGGGCCAATCGTTTAATGAGAGGGGCACATTGATTCAATGCAGTAAAAAGGAGATTTTAACATGTTTTAGTTTTTAAGTCAGTGCGCCTTAAAAAAACCTTTACCATTATTGGTGTTTGATTTAGTAACAGAGTTTGTGTCAATGTCTTTGTTACAATTGTATTTATTTGTTTTAGTTACTTTGGCCCAAGATACAGAACATTAAAAGAAGTTTGGGGTAATAGAAACATTATTTATGCAGCCAACATTTTTTTTTTTAAATGTTTAGTACTTGTCGGGATTTGTTATAGTCACAACATTTGTTTCAGTAATTAAGTTATTCAATTACATTACTGAAAGAAAAAAAATCCCTGTTGACTTTGGCCCAGGATACAGCATAGTACCTTAGCATTTTACATGAATTGCATTATCATAGATTTATACTTTTGGAGCGGGGCCACAGGGGGGTTCAAGCTCCGTGTCACAGTGGCACTGGCCCCTGTTGGCCCCCGGGACCACCCATGAGTAATACAATTTGGAGTCGCAAACCTTAACATTTTCAACACAAAGTGCTTAAAGGGCCATTGTGATTTTTAATGTAGGTATTTTAGGCTATTCATTTGAACCTGATGTCCAATTCCTTCTAAAGCTATAGTCTTTTTTTGGTTCACTCTCAATGCTCTGATAATGCTGTTCTTGACTGCAACAGAAAAAAAAGCTCTAGATAAAAACACAACTTGTCTAATGGAAAGATAATGTTTCTCTGTAACAGCCGGATGTGTAAATAAACTATGATAGTCACCATCCTAACCTGAAAAGAGATGATGTTTTTGTTTTCTTGTTGCTGCTGACCCCAAGTGGTCAAGATCAGTTATTGCAGGTTAAAAGGTCACATGTAATTAACATTTGTAAAGGTCCCATGTCATGGCCATTTCTACTGATCATAATTCCATTGTTGAGGTCTACTAAAATAGATTTATATTGTGCAATTTTCCAAAATCGCATTGGTTTCTCATACAGCATCTCTGTATAGTATGTGTATTCACTCTCTGTCCTAAACGGCTTGTTGGAGCTCCTGCCCCCCCCCCCCCCCCCCCCCCTCCCTATGAGCCCAGTGGCCGTCTGCGAGACAGCGAGACACAGCAAAACCCAGCCCGAAACCAGCCCGAACACACACACACACCCGCAGCCTGGCTGGGAGTTTGTGTGTGTGCTCACACACCGACTCACAGCCTCCTGCCGTCTCAGGGAGGAGCAATCGGTGGAGCTGCAGCTGAGAAAAGATTGAGTGTGTGTGTGTGAGGACGTAACGTAACGGCTCCACGGATTGGTCCATTTGGACCAATGGGTCCATTTGGGCATGGGCACGTCACTGTACCCAGGAAGAAAACAATGGAAAATGAGAAATCTCCAACGAGGCGTTCTGGGGCAGTATAGACAGGTCTTTTCTGTGTTAGAGTTTTACTCGCTACAGGGTGTACTTTGAGGGTTTTTGACTCTGCAGACCGTTTACATGCAGAAAAACCTTCATAACACACAAGGGGACGGGTAATAACCGGAGAAGCATGACATGGGACCTTTAAGTAAACAATTGTATTTCAGCTTTTCATTGCAACACGATTAAACGATGTGTTGTTCAAATAATGTTATTCTCCTCAAATATGACTGTACTGACCAGTTGCTGAAAAACTCTGCTCTAGTCTCTTTAATAGCATGAAACAAAAGCTGTGATTGGTCAGTGTCTCTTGATCTCTGCTGTCAATTTAGAGTTTTAACAATAGCTCATTATCTTAACTGTAGCTATCTTTCTGTCTTTGCAGCCACAAAGGGGCGCTCTTCACAAGTGAACCTAGTTCCTCTAAAAATGCATGCATTTTAATCTGCAATATTTAGGGGAACTTCCAATTGTTGCAGCCACGGCACCTTTATGTCTTGGATTGATAGTATGTGACTTTATTTTATGAGGGTTCTCAGATACACAAGCATACAACACAAACAGGAAACCACAGACATGAACACATGCCTCTGCTTCTCCATACAACCTCTGCCTCTCAGAATCGTGCACAAAAAAAAAGCAGAAGGTAGGGTTTGCTGCAGACAGTCGAGGACTGTTCCTGTCCTTCACTCACGCAATGCTTCACTTCTGTTGCCATCCACAGCCTATGGAGCTCTCAGAATTATGCAGATAAATGTACTCATGAAACCAAATTACTGATACCATCATGATCTGAACAACAACAGTGATTATGACGTCAGACACCCTGTAGGCCTACAAGCTCAACATCTTATAATGTATCTTTTACCAATGTCGACCAAAGATACTGTAAGCATGTCTACTTCCTCCTGCCTGCCTGAGTGGTTTCGGTGATTAATTATTAATATGAAATGACAAGAATGAGAAAGTTGTTGTGCTTTGTGTGTTTAGGTCAATTATGTCCTTCCATAGCTGTTCTAAAATTTTTAAATCAATTATATTTGCTGAATTTCGGTGACTTCGACTCGTTTGCTTTTGTCTTATATTATATTTTGATCCACAAATTACTGGCAATGAAGTTGTTATTTACAGGATGTCACTCATCACTCGCCAGATAGCAGCTTTTAAGATGCCCAAAGCGCATGTGGTTACACCTAACTTACAACACACCATTACAGTAAAGGAGCAATAGTCAAAACTGAAATATAAATCATTCAAGACGTAGGTATATAAGGCCTGTAATAAATATGTCACTTTGTCCGGCTCCCGGTGGAACTGAATGCAGTTTTTTTTTTATGTTTTTAACTTAAAAAACCTGAAGACCAGCACAGACGAGAAGTCGCACGTACTGTTTCTCTTATCTTTTCACATACGTTTTTTTTAACACCTTGCACTTGGTCTTATTTAATGCAGAAATTAAAGAGGTTTTTTATACATCTCATATTAGCTATTTCATATTGCATCTATCATAAAAAAAGTCTATTCTTTTATAATTATCCACTTTATTTAAGTTCAGTTATCCATGGTCAAAGACACACTCACTGATAGATAGCATAGTATTTATTTGATAACCTTAAAAATATGCATAAATAATGCTCCATGATGTATAAAACACAAGCAATAACGGGACAGGGTGAAACACTTAAGGGAATTACATACATTGTCATTCTCTGGGGTTTACATTATGGAAATGATCCCAAAATGTCCTCATTGTTAGGTTAAACGTCAGATTTGATATGTTGCATACAAAAAATGTGAAGGTTGACTTTAATTAAATGTATTGTGTCACACGTCATTATTTAGGTTAGTAAAAATCAATAATATTAACTTTTAAAAATATATTAGATTCCACTAACCTAATTCAGTTATGTGAAATCTGTTGATATAATACATTAATGAATGTCAACGTTTCTGTTTTTCAGTGTGTCTGTTGAGTCCTTTAGCTGTTGGGCATCCTGCTCCTGTTCACATCGGAACTTTGACTATTCAACAAAAACATCCTCCGAACAGTGCCCATGTCCACTTTATTCTTGAAGGTGTCCGTGGTGAAATAGTACGCAACAGGATCCAGCACTGTGTTGAGACACGCCATCATCAGGCTGTAGCGGTATGCAGTACGCAGGGGGCAGGGTATATCATCTTTATACAGAGAGAGGACGGCCAGGATGGTATGGTAAGGGAGGAAGCTGAGCAGGAAAATGAGGAGGCTGGTGGCAATCATCCTCTGGATTTTCCCGCTGTCCACTAAGTTGGTCTGAGCCACAGAGCTACGTTGGACAGCACGGACCAAACCCCATGAGCAGATCAACATGATGACCAGTGGGATCCCAAACCCCACAATCAGGGTTGGAAAAACCACCACCGGGTTTGCAGCGTAAACAGGAAGGCTGTCGAAACATTCCGTGTTGTTAACATAATTGCGCTTGGTAAGATAGATGGGCAGGCTGGCTCCAAAGGTGAGCATCCATATCCCGAGACAAATCCACGGAGCTTTCTTTCTCCCTGCCTGGACTCGAGACGACATAGGGAAGCTGACGGCCATGCAGCGGTCGAAGCAAATGCAAGTGAGGAGAAAGATGCTTCCATACATGTTGGCCTTGAGGACCAAACCGAGGACTTCACAGAGCCGCTGACCAAGGGTAAATCCCAGATGGTAGTAGATCCTCATGGGCAATGTGAGGATGAGCAGAATGTCTGCTATGGCCAGGTGAGTCATGTAGACTATGGTTTGAGATCTGGATTTGGTTTGGCTGAAGAAAAACACCAGTGCTAGGATATTAAAGACCAGGCCAACGGTGGAGATGAAGGAGTACATGCACACGGAGAAGATGCTGAAGTGTTCCGCACAGCTGTTGTTGTAGGCCACGGAGGTGTTGGGGGACATGGTAACCTAATTCACACAAGAGGAAAACCAGTGGTTAGAAACAGTCTAAGTTGTTTTTGACAGTCTCTCTAAAGACACATCTTTAGAAGGAGGTCAAGGTGCAAGCTAATACAACTTTGGTCCCATACTGTTGGTATAAAAACAAATCAAACCCCACCTTTTGTACAATATTTATATCCACATGACACGCATTTAGTAACAGAAAAAGCTAACAAAATGTGGATTTGGACACTACAGTATATCTATGACTTAAGAGGCCGTAGAGTAGAAGGGATAATGTAAATTAGTATGTATACATCACTTTTTGGTTTTCTAACTTTTGTGATTTTTTGGAAATTCAAGTTTAAATTCTGGCATCATCTGGAGTCGTGTTTACGTGGACATGATAAACGTTAGTCCTATGTTCACCATTTTTAGCTCAGTTGTTGGTCCCTACCAACTCTTTGGTTGGTATTTGTTCTCAGTGTAAAGCCGAGCAGAACAGCAGATTCAGGTGGTACATTTCTACAGGTCCATCAACCCTTTCCCATTGTCGTATCATTTTCTTTCAATATATATTACTGTGTCTTTAACAACATGAAAGGCCTACTTTAGTATGACTATAAGAGCTGTTTTAGTGACATGCTTTGGTCAAATTGCTTACCTGCCGGCTCTGTGACGGACGCAGCAAAGCCTTTCTTCTGTGCTTTTAATTAGACTGCGTATGTTCCCTCTAAAGTTAGTTCCCCCTCATAAACCAACACAGATTCAGCTTTTGTTTTAACCTGCTGCTCTTTCTGCTGATTTCATTTGTCTTTTTCTCCAATCAATATCAATTGCACAGATTTTCTACACCGTCACTCCTGGAAGAATCACTGGGAAATATCTTTTCATTTATTTATTGACAATAAAACAAAAATCAGTTTGGTTGTAATAAATGTTTTGGTTGTTCAATCCTTTGAGCGTACACGGTGGTAAGTACAACATATGGTTAATACAAATGTACAAAGTAAGAACGAATGCTTTTTGTTTGTCTTTATTTGCAACCAATACTTCCACCTAGTATATGACTCTTATAATAATGACTCGATCAGCTTTTTACTGTTGTCTAATTGAAAGATGCCGCATTTTGAATGACACATGAAGTACAGTATATTTGATAGTATGTGAAGAAATTAGTAAAAGTGTGACAATACCTGTTTGATGATCAAAAGAGAAGTAGATTCAGATGCAGAGGAGTGTGTGAGTTTCAGCATACTGACACACTGATATCCCTGTGACACTGAGGTGTGTGAGAAGCAGCAGAGGAAGTTGACCAATCTTAAGATCTCGCTTGCGCTGTCTCGCTCTTTGTTGGTTTCTATGTAGGCCTCCACTACATCCTTACTTCAGATATATTTTGGATATGTCCACATTTTGGATATTGTATTTTCCTGTCTTTTAAATTAACATTGATTTATTGGCCGTATCCAGTCCAAACGGAAATATAACAACATGAATAGACCAGAACCACATTGAGCAGTGTCTACACCACCTGTTTATTTGTTAAAATAATATAACATTACGAGAGGATAGAGGACACTGAGAAAACACACAGAATACTGCCTTCTTGAGTACCATTTGTCCTCTGTGGGGGAAATGACACAGGCCTACATTTCAAAACACTATGCATGTAATACACATGGGGTTTAACCAACAGAACACATCCTCTGTCTTTTGCTACTTTGTACTTCTATTTCACTACAATTCAGAGGTAAATGAATGGTGTACTTTTACTCCACTATATTACTTGACTACTTAAATGTTTTGCTACTTTGTACTTCTACTTCCCCACATTTATGTAATACCTTTAGTTACTTTGGAGATTTGGATGAATGTGAAATATAATCAAGTGTTAAATCAGACTTTAGTTCCACCTGGAGTAAATTCACAAGCTACCCTGCAGTATACAAAGTCATTCAAACTAGTTGCACCTTTACCAGCTTTGAGAACACTTTCATGATCAATCATTATAAAACATATCATATTTATTATTCTGAAATGGACCAATCTGCATAATGAGTACTTTTACTTTTGGTACTTTAAGTATATTTTTTTGCCAATAATTGTGTACTTTTACTTGAGTAACATATTGATTGCAGTACTTTTAGAGTATTCCTACTCACTGGTTCTTCTACTTTTACTAAAGTACAAGATCTGAGTACTTCTTCCACTTTCCATTTCATGTAAATGTACTGTACTCTAATGTGGGCCTGCTTTCTGTAAAAAAAAATATTAACCCGATATCAACCAAAAGTGATATGTAATAATAAATAACACTATATCGATTTTAGAAAAAATGTCTACATTTTATAGAATAACATCGAAATGATAAAACCTTTCATTTTTTTGGGTAACACTATGATAATTATAAAAACGACAATGGTCATCCTAACATAATGCATAGTCCATAAACACTTTAACAATGTGACTGATTGACACACTTATATTACCTGGAGCTGTTGGAAAATTGTAATAAATATAACATAAACATTAATGACTGTGTGATTTGATCAATTATATTTGGTCAAACAGGGCCCTCTAGTGGAGAATAAAATACCGTTCATCTACTGTATCACTAGAAATATAGTTTGACATCGTATGTAGCGCTTATTCATTAAAAAGTGAATCGTTTCCCTGACGTAAATGATGGACGGCAGGCAAGATTCATAAACAAAATATTCTGACTCAATCAGTTGTAGACCTCGTGGCGCAACGGTAGCGCGTCTGACTCCAGATCAGAAGGTTGCGTGTTCAAATCACGTCGGGGTCAATCTTTTTAAAGAAAGGTGTTAATTGATTCTTACGAAACACCGTGTAGTTATTATAACGGGTGGTGTCAACAAACAGTAAAAAGTACGTCCCATGTTCAAGGAGCAAATACATGAGACTAATCAATGCCTGCAACAATAGGCTACGTTTCTTATCGCCAAGCTCATATCTGAATGAATAATACTGAACTCCTGTTTGTTTCGGAAGCAGTACTCAAACTATAAGGAGACTTAGCAATATATATCACTTTAGATACAGTCGTTTTTCCAAGTGTGTATATCAATAGTAAACATGTTTTAATATGAGTGTCAAAGTAAGTAAAATCTTTTTTATTTTAGGACATTTAAAGTTAATCTGTAACAATGGAAAATATTTGATAAAATATTAATTTGTTTCATTGTAAAGTGATAATCAAATGCAAACACAACAAGACACAGTTAATCTATAGGTTTAGCTTACTAGAAAACCTGAAGTACCTCCTTTTTATCTTATGTTCAAAGCTTTATTACAAAATATTTTAAAACGTACAATTGTACAGATACAAATATAGCACACATCAGTTTTTCCATCTACAATCAGTATAATATGAGAAAAATAAAATAGGTACAGAAGAAATATTTATTGATCATCCCAGTCATTCCTTTTGAAGAATTAGTAATAAGAATAATGAGGATTTGGACAGATAGGACTGTGTTTATAGAGACATTCAACCCCTATCTCAAACCCCCCCATGATACAGTAGGTTATGATAGTGGTGATGAATTGAGTTGATGAATGTGATGATGATCCCTGTCATTTATTCTTCAAGAGGTCATGGTGTGTCGTGGTTGAGCTTACTGTGGAGAGAAGGCAGAAAGACAGGGTTAGTTTAGACATCTGGAGTTTCAAAAAAAGCATTAATATACAGTCAGACGCTAAAGTAAGGGGATAATCTAATTGTATTATATCTGAAAGAGGAATGGTGGAGAGCGATAATAATTGGGGTTATAAATTAAACAGAATTTATAAATACAAACCACATTTTGAAACAGCGTTGTGTTTTGGGATTTTCAGAACGTCTTGTCTAAGTTAGGTCTTGTAAAATAAAGAAATATTGTGCCAAATCACAACCACGAGAAGACGTTGACTTTACTTAAATGTATTTTGTCCACAGATTACACAAAATTGTATTAGGTTAGTTGAAAGCAATAATATTCTGTTTAAATCAAAAATATTAGGTTCAACCTAATATTATTGCTTTCAACTAACTGAATACAATATGTGTAATGTATTCACAAAATACACTTCATTAGAGTCGTTAAAAAAATGTCAGTGTATTTTAAAAACGTTTTGGCATGCCTTAAGGTCCTTACACACCAAGCCGATTTTCGGCGTCGATAGATGTCGATAGATGTCGGGCCGTCGATGAGTGTCGTGTCGCCCTACTCAGATTGGTGTGTCTTGGTGTGTAATGCACCGTCGTAGGGCTGTGCAATTAATCGTATTTTAATCTCGATTACGATTTTGGCTTGCAACGATTACGAAAACAACGTAATCGAAATAAAAGGATTATTATTTTTATTAAAAAAAATAAAAAATGTAATTATTTTTTTTTTTTATATATTTTTTTTTTGGTTTTTCAGTTGAATTATACTTAAAGTTCAGGGTAATCAACTGTTAAAAACATACTGTTCACATTTTTGTTTCAATAAATGGATGTTTTCAAAGTAAATGGATAATCGTTTTTAATAATCGTGATATCAATTATTGACCAAAATAATCGTGATTAGGATTTTTGCCATAATCGCACAGCCCTACACCGTCGTGTCTTTTCGGCCGTGCCGACACCTTCCGCCGCCGATTCGACATGTTGAATCGGGAGGCTGTCGGCCAAAGAAATCACTCTGATTGGCTGTTCAGCTTAGCGAATCAGTGCATGAGAAGCGAAACGGAAGTGAGGGACCCAAACAAACTATTAAGAAGGCAAATCTGAGATTTCATTTAACTCCAGCTCTCGACACAGGTTCGGGAAAGCCCCATGAGCTTCTCGCTGTAGAGTGAAAATGGAACGCACACGCTATTTGTTGTTTGTTTATATCACGCAGTCTGTTCTTCTTCTCTTGGTCTCGGTCTCGGTCTGTCTTCCGGTTGTTGCCTCTTTTGAATGACAAATACACACTACCGCCGCCTGCTGGTAAGGAGAGTTATTGCCACTCACGCATGCGCAGTTCGCACGTGCTACTTGGCCGTCTGCTGAAGTCTTTGCGGTGTGTTCCAGTGTGAAACATGACCAAGACGCAGGAGACGTGAGGCGACGTTCTGTCGGGACGTGTTCTTTGGTGTCAGTTTGGTGTGTAAGGACCTTTAAAGTCTGGTCACATTGGAGGTGTTTTGTGGCCATCAGTCCATTAGTCTGACAATTTTTATAATATGAACAAATAAAAAAACAACGCAGCACAACTGAAAGTCTGTTAGAGAAACCAAAAGCTAAGCTACTTAAATAAATATGTATTATATGTGCTCTATTTTTCATTTGTATTTGAACGCATCTACTAAGACACCAAGTTCTTAGTAGATGCGTTCAAATACAGACCAGGCTGGGAGAAGGTTTTGGCCTTGTCTTTCAGAACCAGTAGAAATATATTGATCTTATAGTCTAGTTATCATGCTGAACCCTGTAGTGTGCTATGCTCTCACTTCCTTGCCGCCGCAGGTGCCACAGAGACATCCAAAGAGTCCGTTGACCATCTGGATGAGACAGAGGGCGAGTTCGAAGCAGGCCGCCACCAGCAGAGTGGAGAACAGTCCCACGTTGAATTCAACCACATTCTTTGGAACTATGCACCAATCCCACATTGCTTTATCGCCCAGGTAGCTCCCGTTACTGAAGAGGATAACAATTAGAAAAGGTAAATACAAGAAAATGGTACATTAAACTACATTATGTATGGCCATAAAGACTGCCTGTACCTGCTGGCGAAGGGTGTCCCCCATTGAGGAATGGGGCTTAGAAGATTGCTCCAAAGGCATGTTGGCCCATTAGACAGGCCCAGGGCAGCCACACTCAGACTGTAAATGGCCCCCACCGCACCAGCTGCTGCAAAACCAATGGACAGGAACATCTGCATGGAGCACACAGTGGAGTCAGGAAGTGGACACTGAAGATGATTTCACATTGTTGACCCCAGTTTTTTCAGTCAGGTATGATTCATTACTTGCATGTTGCAAAAAAAAGATAATAACAATGAAAAACAAAAATGTCTAACAGTCAAAGGAGGTAACTTGTGGAATAGTCTTGACACTCAAACAACAATATTAAAAAAAGGTAGGTGTATGTCAGTTTTTGGGAATATAAAACATTTATATTTGGAGCTTTCATTCATTTTAAGGGCAACAACTTAATAATATTAATTAAAACATTGCTATGGTATTTCACTATTTTAATATTAATGACTCTGACGATTAATGACGCGATAGAATTACTAACAAAGAATTGCTAACAAAGCACTTATATACTAATAAAGGACTGGCTTATCTAAAGCCAGTTGAGTAGCCCTTGAAATGTTTTAGCTCTATGAAACCTGATGTACTTATATGATTCTGTTTTCTTCTAGTTTGTATCTTGTTGGTCGAATGCACTTATTGTAAGTCGCTTTGGATAAAAGCGTCAGCTAAATGCAATGTAATGTAATGTAATGTAACTCTGATCAATTGTTATGTTTGCATTGGATTTTTTTCAGGTTGAAACAACAAAAATAAACTGAACTTGACATTTCCGAATAAATATATAAGACACTGGTTTGGATTTATTTCACTACTGTAAAAACCAAATTCCAGGGACTTGCTTTAGATAGATAGTCCGTCTCCGTTCTGAACCTAACACCATAATAAATGCACATTTGACAAGTTTCTGGGAAAGAGGGGAGAAGCTGTGTTTTCTGAACACCAGGGGACAGAGTTCTAGCACAGATGGTTAACAAATTGTGGTTTTATCTGAAAATATATGCCGAAAAGTTTCATAATACTGCTTTTTAAGATTGGGATGTTCCAGTTTATGTAACAGTAATTTATCCACGATGAGAGGTACAAACAGATAAGATAACGTTTCAAACAGCGTCCACATAATACACACTTACCCCACAGCGGTTGGCACAGCAGTTTTTAGCGCTGGTCAGGTGAGTGTGGATGGCAGGAACGAGGACCTGATAGAACAGAAGGCATATTTAATTGACAGAAACATTATTACTGAAGGAAGATCGTGAAGGAAAGAAATGTTTCCTAAGTAAACTGTGCATTAGATCTGGACAACAGACCTAAATATACAGTAACTATAAAAAAAATTAAAAGCGAAAAAATAGGAGCACTGAACTGACTTTAAAGAGGCACTCAATTTTGTATTTTGTTTCTATAAGGTTAGGTCCCAAGCCAGATTTAGATTACAAAATGAATTTGCAACATCAGAGCAGCAGAGGCTGAGATATACTCACTTTAAGTCAAAAGTGTGGACCATTTCGGAAAAAGAGGGGATCCTACAATTCCCACAATGCAAAACAACTCTCAAATGGATTAGTCGCGCCGCTCAGCATGGCTTTCGACTTTTTCATAGTGGCCACTTGCGGTATTGCAGTAATAAAGTCCCCTGCAGGCCAAAAAGCATTTTCCCGATAGAACAAAATAATTGTTTGTAAAATTGTCGACAGGAAAGATGAATTACAATTCTTTTATGATTTTTATATTTAATCTAACCGGTAAGTCATTTTAAATGCTGTGAGATTATGACAGTGAAAGTCAACGGTCAAAGCAGAAACACTTTCGGGAGAGCAGGGAAACAAGGAGGTAAACCCGGAAGCTAGGACATTTTGTGGCGTCCGCGCCATCTTGGGGTATGCGGCATCCATTTCCTATTTTGGTGTCAGTTTGTAACAAGGGCTCACTGTTACATGTTCTCCATGTCCAGGATGAGACAACCCTGATGACATCACTATGACATCATCTTCTCCCCTCCCTCCATCTCTTCCGCCCTCTGACATCTCTCCCCTGAACTCTCCACCCTGCCTCCGACCTTTCTCCCCTGCCCCAAATGGTCCTGGACTCTAACCCCCTAGCTCACTTTTCTGCCCATCTCCGCTGCTACTGCACTGAAACTGTACTTTGAACACTTAAATTATATTATTGACATTTTAAACTGTATACCCCGGTTATCTAGGCCCTTTGTTTTGTTTAATGTATACCATGTTTATCTAGGCCCTTTTTGTTTTTTGTTTGATGTATATATGTCACACTGTAGGACTGCGGGAAACGATATTTCGATATTTCTGGATGTACAACATGTAGAATTATTGACAATAAAGCTGACTTTGACTTTGACTTTGACTTTGATCAGGGTTTTGTTCTGATAATGTGCCCCTTTAATTGAATCAAGCCTGTAAAAATGTGATGAGAAAAATGTCACATTTAGATCCCGTCTGTTACCAAAACTATTGTATTATTTATTTCTGTGCTCTTTGTTTAAATGTAAGAAAGTGGTCAATTTTGTGTTTGTTTGACCTTGGCTATGTCTTTAATTGCTTGAGGTCATAGAAACTACAGCATTGGCTTGATGTGAGTGTACTTGAAGTAAGCACAGAGGCTTTCCTTAGTTTTAGTGGCCTAAACTTGACCAATTTAACCAACGAAAAACACAATATTAGTCAAATCATGTCATTTTTGTTATGGACCATTTGGATTTTTGACATCAATGTACTCACCAGGATTCCTCCTCCTATGAGGCCTGCCATGTATTTGACCTCCACCGTGATGCGCTCCTCCCCCTCCCGGTCTTGGGATGCATACGTCGTGTCAAAGTCAGGGAAGAAGAGCATGATGTTGCAGATGATGGACACCGCAGCCAGGATATAGAGCGGGATGGCGATGAACTTAGAACAGGCTCCTGTACACATGATGTCTGCGGGTGTGGGGAGCGCTCAAACAGGTAAAAATTTCTAAAATCCCAACTGATCCTCCGAGCAAAAATCTCACCTCTTTTCCTTTGACACACGAAGTGCAGCTTTGGGCTTCAGAAGTGACAGACTGGGAATGGGTTGTTTGAATATATTTGAGTTTTGGAGGGTGGGGGTATAAAGGGCGGAGCTATAAGAGATAAGCCTGATTATTACTCTTTATGACCAGACTTTATGCCATGGGTGTGGTTTTTTGTGTGTGCATGTTTCCATGAGAGCCATAAAAGCCAAGGCTGTGGTCTACAGCACAACCCTTATAACAGTAAGCAGAGAATATAGAAAATAACAGATTAACGTACATCCAAGTACTTTTTTAGGGAGCATTGGGGCTGCAAAAACTCCTTTTGATTAATGGTATCTACATTTAGGGTTTGTTAAGACTAGGGATAAAGTCAAAACAGTTCATGTTAGAAACGAAAATCTGATCTTCTTAGATAATTGATTCACAATTTCTAAAATCTGATAATTAAATACATTTCTTCCAAATAACCTTGGTATTGCTACTGATGGACGATTACACCAGACACCAAGACAAAGTCGTGTCAAGAATTAGTGTGTGAAATATCACACAAAATAACACTTTTAAGAGGTGTACGAAAAAAGAAAAAAAAACATTTAGACATACTATACTTTCAGAAATGTTTTGTATATTTCTTTATTATTATTTAATTAATTTAGTTATTTAATATGACTTTTTCTGTGAGCTATTTTCAACATAATACAATTAGTGGTTTTTCTGATATTTTCCAAATCACACTTTTAGGGTGTAACTTGGTTTAGATTTTATTTCTTTCTAATTGGAACATTTCTGATAAATTAAAATACAGCTCCTCAAAACCAACCAATTTCATTTATGTAACAGACAACATGTTCATATACATCTTATATACACCTAGCTCTGCTTTCATGAGATGATTTATACTGCCTTTATTAGGAACTGAACTGTAACCAGCCCCTCCCCCCCATGTACCTGTCAATGTTTCACTCTGACACACTGTATGTTGTTCCTTCATTATTATTACTTCTGCATTAATGTGTACTCCGTTTTGCATTTCACCTCTGTAAATGTTTATGGTTCATATAGTGTTGGGTTGTGATCCGAGAGGGAATCATTTATTGAAGGTTTAATGTCTGATGAAGAAGGCCACCGCAGGTTTATGATGCAGCTTGAATAATACCTGAGAGTTTTAACATTATAGTTGACTTGTTCTTCTGTTAATAATTATTTTTTATATTTGTCAGGAAGCTCTCGTTATTCTGATGACGTTCACTTGATTTACTGCCAAGTCACTTTTAATAAAGACACACCAGACACTGAGCCATTGTCCTGCAGAGTCTGTGTTAACATTACTAAAACCACACTGGTGAAGTACTGCATTACAAAAATGTACTTTAAATATTTAAGTATAAAATAAAAAATGTACTTTAATAATTAAAAGTAGAAACATGTTCTCTGTGACTAACTATTGTCACTCGTGAAATAATGTAAACTAGTATTTCACATTTGTAGTTGAATAGGTGGAGCTCATTTTAAACTATTAAATAATGATTATGTTCATTATGGATTATTCTGCTGATAAATAATTTAATTTGATTGTTTGGCATTTTGAGCTGTCAGATAAATGCAGTGAAAAGTAAAAGAAAATAAACAGGTAAATTAATATTTTTTAAATGTTATGTTTAAATCATCTTAAAATCTACATTCATTTCTGATTGCAAATTAAGTTATTCCTTGTGTTTAATGCAGGGGTGGGGAACCTGCGGCCTCCGGGCCGTATACGGACCGCGAGACCATTTGGTACGGCCCTCGAGGTAATTTATAAACACACGCAAAAAATAATAACTAAAGAAATCGAGACCGCAAAAGAATTAAACAAGCGAGTGCCTGTTTTTCCTGTTATTTTTCCTTGTTAATTATAATTTTTTGCGTGTGTTTATAAATTACCAAGTGGAGAAATAACAGAAACGAGGAAGACAAACAGATATGCTGTCATCCTGATCCAGCTGAGACAGAGCCCCCCCCCCCCCCCTCTTCTGTGACTCCATGTACTTCCTAACAGCCGACAATCAATCATTTTCCTTTAACCTTAACATATCAGAGAACTGATCAGAACACTGATTATAGGGAGCATTCAGTGTGTACAAGCTCAGTATGTGTGTGTGTGTGTGTGTGTGTGTGTGTGTGTGTGTGTGTGGTGTGTGTGTGTGTGTGTGTGTGTGTGTGTGTGTGTGTGTGTGTGTGTGTGTGTGTGTGTGTGTGTGTGTGTGTGTTGGGCGATGGGCACCGGGGGTGTCTTTGCCAAAGTGCCTTTGGAAGAAGGGCCACCTAGGCTGAGTGTGGGACAAAAAATAATAAAAAAAGCAGAGACGTAACATGTTTTGAGGCTGCATGGACGTCATATTGGGACACCGGGGAGGTTAGGAGGGGTTAACCTGCCTGGGACTTAGGGTGTGTGTGTGTGTGTGTGTGTGTGTGTGTGTGTGTGTGTGTGTGTGTGTGTGTGTGTGTGTGTGTGTGTGTGTGTGTGTGTGTGTGTGTGTGTGTGTGTGTGTGTGTGTGTGTGTGTGTGTGTGTTATCGGATTACCTTATCAGTGAATTATGGCACCATTCAAATGTGTAGGTGTAGGGAGTGCTGACATGGACTTTAAACAACATCTGTCAGGGATGACACACGCAGGCAGTCGCTTTGGATAAAAGCGTCAGCTAAATGTAATGCATGCACGCACACACGCACACACACACAGCTATGGAGTTTGAGCGTTGAATTTATCTGAATTGTGAGCATCACCAGGTCTCAGTGACTCACGGAGGCCATTGCTTGCTGGGCGTTTTACTGTAGAATTGAAGGTTATTATAGATCATAGTCTGTGTAGTCATTTTGATAGTGATTAGCACACCCATTGATAAGTGTGGAGTGACAGTGATCAGGAGCACTGTTCTATATTTATCTATGTTTCTGTCCTTGGTTTAATCTCATGTCCTCTACCCCAGTGGTTCCCAACCTGGGGGGCGCGACCCCCTTGGGGGGGTGCCAATGATCGCAGGGGGGGCGCCAGGCCTCAGATGATTTGAGGCCAAATATCATATTTAGACTTTTTATTTTATTTATTTTTTATTTATTTTTTTACATATAATTGTAACGCAATACATGATTGTCACTAAAAGCCTTGTCTCTACATTACAATAACATATAAAAAATAATTGATGAATTAATTTGAATACAAATTCAAGTTAGTAGCTATTATAGGCATAACAAGACAGAAATGTATAATTCTTTCTTTAATAGAAATGTTTCTTCTGCCCGTAAAGTGTCCAAACCAGGCTTTTCTGGATAAGCGCATTTTTAAAACATAGTCATTGCCCATGCCGGTTTCAGATTATTTGTCACAGTTGCTCCGATCAGATCGGTCTCCTCCATTTTGTAGATTATTTACGACTTTTGTATCCACATAAACACATTGGCAAAATCCGGCTTACTTTGAGCATGTGTTTTAAACAGTTTAATCCCTTTGTGAATTGTTTCCACTTGCGCCGTCCTTTAATTTCTTCATACAGCGGGAATCCAAATGAATTAATCCTGAGTCCAATAACCATCAAAGTCACTCCAATAGTGCTCCTTGATTACGCTTTCATCCTCCTTTAACAAAATACTTCAGGGGGGGGGCGCAACTTCCAACAGGAGTCATTTGGGGGGGCTCTTGGGAAAAAAGGTTGGGAACCCCTGCTCTACCCAGTCGATGCTGTGACCGTTTTTTCCCCCCCGGGTGTTCCCAAAACCACTCACATCTATGAAGACGTCAAAGATCATGGACCAAGAATCAGCTCACAGGAGCAGACAGATGGAAAACATTTGTAAAATAAGTAAATAACTAACGGATTAGTCAATTGACAGAAAAGGAATTGCTAATAAACTTGTTTTTCATGCTAAAAATTGCAGAAAATGCTGTTTTCAGGTTCTTAATATGAACATTTCCTGCTTTTTGTTGTACTTAATCCCTTTAAACTTAATATATTTGGGTTTGGAGTAATAAGAAAAGATACGAAATGTATAGATATCACCTTGGATGTTGAGAAAGCTGGATGAATTTTCACTATTTTCTGACATTTTGACTAATTGTTAACATAATGAAAATAATCATTTATTTCCATCTGATACAAAATGCCATATTTTAACATTTTACCCCCACCTGTCATCATGTACTTAATATATATTTTGGTCAAGTTGTGACTCATGAGCTAAAACATCTCCACCATGACAACTGCACTGATGAAGACCATGACATGCAGTTGAAAGCTCTGCAACACTAGAAAGCAGAGATTAGGGCTGTGCGATTATGGCAAAAATCATAATCACGATTATTTTGGTCAATAATTGATATCACGATTATTAAATACGATTATTCATTGACTTTGAAAACATCCATTTATTGAACTTTTAAATACAAATAATAATTTGAACAGTATCTTTTTAACTGTTGATTTCCCTGAGCGTATAATTCAACTGAAAAACCACTACAAAAATAAATTAAATAAATGATACATTTATATCTACATTTAAATAAATAATATCAAAATAATAAATACCAATAAACAAGATCAACAAATATTTTGGAGCGCACTTCAACAAGCTACTAAACATATATAAATATGATAAATACAAATACATTTGATCAAATATGTTGCAGTGCACTGTCACAACCTAGCAAAGCTAAATAATCGTTTTTTTCGATTATGTTGTTTTTCGTAATTGTGGCAGGCCAAAATCGTAATTGCGATTAAAATACGATTAATTGCACAGCCCTAGCAGAGATTATTCCGTCATACAACTATTTCCATGATCCTGAAGGAACCTTTCCCACAATAAAAGAGTAAATACGTTTATAATCAACAGACTCTGACGTTCAGGCTTAAATTCATGGTTGCTTATTAACTTATCGAAGGTCTTATGGTCATTAATCTAAATAATAAAGATGAATATTCTTGTTTTATTAAGTTAACCTCAACCCATCTGAATCACAGAGCCTCCATTCTGTCCGTTAGTAATATAGAATTCATGCATCAGATAGGAACAGCAACAAATCTACTTCCTGTTGTATCTTCTACATTTATCTCTGGAAAAGTTCCTTTTACAGAGGTTTATCAGACGCGGTGTTTCCCTAAATGATAGCCAACAAAAGGTGATATACAGAGTGACGGTTGAACTTTATGAGCCTTTATTGCCGATGTCTCTGAGGTAATTATGAGTTTATGGTGATGTTACATAAATACGCCCCGGTTTGTGCCTGGCACTAACACTCTGATGTTATTTTTACACCCGCGTGGCATGACTACAGCCTCAAACACACTAAGACACGCTGTTGTCATAATGTGCAGAGAAGAGGGAAAATAGGAGGGATTCCTCTGGATCAATTCTCCAGCAGAGACTCCTCTCTCCTGAGGAGGAAGATAAGAAACCTGCAGCAGGTCCAGGAAACACAGAGTACAACAATGGGACTGGAAAAAGTCTATTGATTTAATAACAGCCATATAAATATGGCCAATAAGCCAAGGCCATAGAAATAAATCATAAAATAGGTTATGCAAGACGTCTGAACCGTTAAGGATGTGGGGGGTCATGTTAATGGGCTCTTGGTCATCTTAGTAATTCATTATTTTATTGTTACTATTACTACTATTGTTATGTTTTGTCTGTATTTATATATTTCTTATTCACCAGTTTTTTATTTGTATTTGTATTATATTATATACTAATTCTTATATTATTATTGGTTCATTTCATTTACAAGACTCATTTTAGTCATTAATGTATTATTATTATTATTATATATATTTTTGTATTACTTTTTTTCCTGTATTTAGATATTTATTTTTCAGATGTTTTTTTTATTATATTATACACTTTTATTTATTCTTATATTATTAACTCATTTGAGAAATTCATGTATTATTATTAATATTATATATTTTTTGTATTACTTTTTTTCGTGTTTTTAGATATTTCTTTTTGACCTGTTTTTTTATTATATTATACACATTTAGTTATTCTTATATTATTATTGGTTCATTTCATTTACTCGTCATTTAAGTAATTTATTATTATTCTTAATATTATTATTTCTTTGTATTAATTTTTTTCCTGTATTTAGATATTTATTTTTCACATGTTTTTTTTAATTATATTATACACTTTTAGTTATTCTTATATTATTATTGGTTCATTTAATTTACTAGACTACAATACTACAAGCACATTTGCAAAAAATTACAAAAAATGTTGCAAAATGTATGATAAATATTGTGAAATATTTGAGATATTAAAAGCCAGATTAATGTTGTGTGTTGTATATAAATGTGTTTTTTTGTGATAATTTCAACCTGTAAATGTAAATTGAATGGAGTATACCAACAAAACTAGAAATACTATAAATAAAATGAATCATTATTGTTGTTATAAGTGAAAGTGTTCAGCTTTGTCTATTCACTGTGTCAAACGCTGAGAATATATTCTGACTATTACTGTAATACAAAATGAGTGTATTCAATCAAACTGGTGTTCCCATTATTTTTGGCAATACAATGATTGTGATGCGTTCTAACGTTGATGGCAAGAGTAGCGTGACAGGTAACACACCTCCAACCACACGCAGTTCAAAGTGTGTGCGTGTATGTGTGTGTCTTAAATGTGCTTATGGCAGCATATGTGTTCAATTAATATGATTAGATTACATTCAACTTAATTGATTAATATGTTATCAATAAAGATACAAGAAAAAGGAAATATTGTGAAAGAAATGAACAATTACGTCAGAGCGTAATGCTGAAGCACCCCCTAGGATAGCCATAGCACCCCCAAGACATGTATGTGTCTTTTTTTTTTTTGTGTGTGAAATTCATAATTTGAAAAATGATGTGTGTTTCATTCAAACTCTGCTCTGTGTGTGTGTGGTACGAGTCATTTTCTGTGCGTGCGCGAGCGAGAGAGAGAGAGAGCGCGCACCGGTATTGGAGATCGTTGTGGTTAGCATCTGGTGCTAGCTAGCTACGCTAACGGATATAAGGAGCTTTTTCAACAACAAGGTGGAGGGAGAACTCTCTCCTGTCAGACTGAGAGTCTCAGATAACCTCAGCTCAGGTGAGGTAAAGGACTCTCTCAGTGTTTAGATAGTTCACTTTAGTCTAAGTTATCTCATAGGCTCAAAACTGTTCGGTCAGGATTTATGTAAATAAGTATTTCTGAGGCACACGTTAATATGATCATTATAGGTATAAAAAAACAAGAGCATAAATGAAAAACAGGTATGAAATACTATATGACAGTAAAACAAGAACACAGTTTAAACGGGTGTGAGAGAGTGATTTTTAAAATATGCATAAAGAAATAGAAAATCGGTTTACAGTTCTGTTTCATATGGGTGTTGAGAGGTATCCATAGAGCTCTTAATTTTGCTCTCAAAGTACACCACATTGATGCATTTAATTTCAATATTAAAAAAAAAAATCTTGCTTGCCTTCATTGTCAGTCACGGGTACACTGCGTATGTGTATGTGCGTGTGGGGAGTGTTGCAGTAGAACATTCCACTGTAGCACCCGGTACATTAATGGGAAACCCTAAATGTTTGAGCACCCTCTATGAAACGTCAAGCGACGCCACAGCACCCCCAAAAGAACATCTCTGGCGCCGCCACTGCAGCCTAGAGGCAAAGCAGACTGTTGTTCTTCACTTCATCAGTAATGTTTAAGAACAATGTGTACATTTTTGTGTTAGGAAAGGTTAGCTTAGATGTGTCATTTTTTGGACATAAATGTCACAACATTTCAAGAAAAAACCATGGTTTAGTATTCATTTTAATCCATATTCAATGTTAGTATTAACATTGACTTAGTTTGTTGTCGAATTTATGTCTATAAACTAAAATACCTCCAAATAATTTGGGAACATAATTTGGTAAAATCCATTCTTGTGCCTTTCGGCAAGAAAAGCCAAAGGCCCCTTAACCTATTCGGGTGGCCCACGCATCCACCCCCCCCCCCTCAAATAAGAAAATACATGCGAGTTCATGGCTAGCGGACAATGTTTTTGTTGCGGCCCGCCACAAATAAATCAATGTATGGGAAACACTGAAATGCAGTGTGTATGATGCTGTAGAAGTGAAGGCCAGTAGTAAAATGTATTTATTTATTTGGTATTATCCCTCTTTTGATGAAGGAGAAAGAGTCGAGTTTCAGGCAACCAATAAATATATTTATAGTCAAATATTTTCATAGTAAAATATATTTGTTGTCAATGTAATAATCAATGTTGTACCAATATCTGAGATGATATCTATACATGTACAGAGATGTTTACAGTTTACAGGCTGTTGATGTGTAATAAAAAGGAAAAAAGCTGATTATTTTTCCAGGAACGGACAAATAGTACGTAACTTAAAATGTTGGGAGGTAATTATCTCCTTTGCTTTAAAAAAGGATATTGTTTTTCTTCCACGAGTCAAAATGTTGCTGTGATAAAGGTCTGTGGAGCACCAGGGTTGACTCCTCAGTTCCTGAGGACTCTGAAAGGGAGTCCATGTCCGGGTATGATGACATCAGCGGTCTGTAGCGCCTTCTGCCGACTGACCTCCTGCACTGCAGTGTTCACGCTCAGGTCCCGCCAACTGTCCTCGTCTGTGCAGCACTCAAATAAGTCCCCTGCAACCAGCACTGTGCCTGCCGAGGTTCCCGTCACCTGGACGCTGACGTGCTGCTCCGTGTGGCCTGGACTCGGAACTACACACACCTGAGGAGAGAGGAGGCACCGTCAGGGAGGGAAAACATACAGGACAACAGCTCACAGTTTGACTCTTCTTCTATTTTGATTTGATCCATTTTCAAATATAAATCAAAGCACCTATTACATGAATCAACACATATTTATTCCAGCTCCATTGCATTGTATTACTGTCTTTAAATGTCATTGTTGTTTATATATATGTTTAAACACTTTATCATAGTATTATATATATATTTATATCTGTGCATAGTAGATTATTCTATATGTTTTACCTGTTATAACTTTATTGACATTGTTTTAGGTGTATGTCTATTTCTGTTTAAAACATATATGTGTAAATAATAAGCAGAATATCCTTGATGTGTACTGTATGGTTCATTTTATCAGGTATTTTCAGACTAAGTCATGTTAGTTTTAGGCAGTCTCTTCTTTTGTATTTATAGAAACTCTTATTTTGAAAACCTCTGTCATGTTGGTCTCTCTTTGTCAAAGAAATCCATTAACATTTTAGTCAAGTTCACACCATACATTCACAAATTCACTGTTGTTGCCAACATTTAGCTCGTTTTTGACTGTTGTACATACTGTTTGAATTGTATTTTATTAAGATACCTGACAACCAGTGTTGCAATGTAACTAAGTACATGTACTTAAGTACAATTTTGAACTTCACTTGAGTATCTTCATGTTATGCTACTTTATACTTTTACTTTATTACATTTACCATGCATTTTTTTTATTCAGCTGCATTATTGGTAACTAACTGAGTTATTTTGCAGGTATGGATTTTTAATATAGAATATATATCAACCAATAAATCATTATTTATCATTATAAAGCTACCCAGACATGTATCATCATTTAATAATCATCCTCTTTACCAGAGAAACATCATTGAAATCACTGCATTAATACTTATAATCTGATAGGGGCCATACTGGAAAATAAGTACTTTTACCTTTGTACTTGAAGTATATTCTGATCCCAATACTTTTGTACTTTTACTTGAGCACAATTTTGAATGCAGGACTTTTACATCTAATCCTAAGTAAAACATCTGAGTACTTCTTACACCACTGCTGACAAAAACTAGAAATGAGACTACCATTGAAAACTAGCCATCAAGCTAACTCGCTCATTTGTTTGGATGAATGTTCATAAACCACAGGTTGTTTGTCTTTTTTCATGTGTGTTGGTATATTTTAACTGAGTTAAAACAACAACACGTTGCATTTAGACTACTTTCAACTTTAATATCGAGTGTTTCTTGTGAGAATAGACTAATAATAACCTTAAATAACGTACCTGCTCATCAATAGTGTACCCCTGTCCCTCTGCTAGCTGGTTGGGGCGGTACGTGTCTCCATCACTGATGTCATAGCCTACTATCATCACTGCTGCCGGGAAAACGCTGAGGTTTCCCACGTGGTCGGAGTGTCCGTGCGTCCCCACGACCACGTCAATGTCCCCCGGTTCCAGACCCTTCTCCTTCAGTGTGGTCAGGAGAAGTCCCGGTCCCATGGACCCCCGGTGTCCACTAAAACAGTCTTGGGTCCCGTTATGAGGGTGATAGTCCCGTCGGCCCTGAACGTCCCATCAGGCTGAGGGAGACAGTAGCCGACTTTAAGGACGGACACGGAGTACGGCTGACCGGGGAAATGCGTCTGAGACTCGGACAGGGGGACAGTTTGGAACATGGTGTCTGAAACTGACCGCTGACTACTTTAATATGTCAAAGTTGTGATTGCCTGTTCCCCGGCCCCTCACCATGGTGTGTTCATGACAGGGAGAAGCTTGTTAGTCAAGCATCATCACAGCTGCATACCGCCACCTGCTAGACCGGAGTGGGTATAACATGATATTGAAGAAATTATTTTACATAGGACGATGCTCTGATGTCATCACCCTCGCACATTTGTCATATGTTTACAAAAAACGATATATATGTTAACACTTTCTCGTGCTATATTTAGGGTTGATATGTGTTGAATTTACTTTAAAATAGCAGATCACTGTGGCCGGATATAGTTTTTTCGGCTTAGTGAACGTGTGTTGATCACTGATCAACAGAAATGTGATCTATTTAATTGTTATTATCCCTTTATCATCAATTTTATCATGTGACGTTTAAACAATATTTAAAACGTTTTGGCATCATTCTGAAATGAGGGAACGAAACAGAATAAAGACACTCTCAGGCAACAGGCTGGACATTGGGGGTAACTTTAATAAGAGATAAAAACAATAATAAAAAAAACGACTTACTTGGTCTTGTTGTGTTTGTGTGGCTTCTGGCATTTCTCTGAACAAGAACCCACTAACATTATTACTTGAGAAAACACCAGAGCGGATACTTATTTCTCATGACAAGAATAGCAGTTATTAAACAAATTACAAATAATTGGTTAAAAGGTAATAACTGAATTAACTCACAATTGAAACATCTAGTAAAGGAAATGTATGGAATGGAGAAAACAACTTGAGAATCAGAAACCAAGTTCATATGTTGTGATGACTAGATGGGAAAATGGGTAAAACATAGAACACAAAACATTTATAATGACCAGTGGTAAGATCTTGTGTGTGTGTGTGTGTGTGTGTGTGTGTTGGTGTGTGTGTGTGTGTGTGTGTGTGTGTGTGTGTGTGTGTGTGTGTGTGTGTGTGTGTGGTGTGCAGTGGTGTAGTGGGCGTTGGACGCGGGGGTACACCGTACCCCCACTTATTTGGAGCATGATCTTTTTTTTAATAGTCTAATAAATATAAAATCATTGCCAGTGTTATCAGTTGCAAGTGTGTATTTGTTGTAATAATGACAACAACATAATACATTTCACAGTAATTATAATAAAAAATAAAAACGATTTCCTTAAAGGAGAGGTGTCATGGCCATTTCCACTGATCATAATTCCATTGTTGAGGTCTACTAAAATAGATTTATACTGTGCATTTTTCCAAACTCACATTGGTTTCTCATACAGCATCTCTGTAAACTACTTGTATTCACTGAATTTCACTCTCTGCCTTTAACGGCTCGTTGTAGCTCCCAAAGCTCCAGCCCCCACCCTCCCTGTGAGCACAGTGTGATCTGATTGGTCGGGACGTTATGAATCGCGCTGAGCTCCGTGGAGGTGTTGTTTCCTTGTTTAGGATACATAGCGAAACACAGCCAAACTCATCCTGAGCACACACAAACTCACATCCGAAGTAAAAACAATAAGTGTGGCTTGATATTGAGTAAGAAAAGGTTGATAAACGCTGTGAGAATGGGTCTGCAGAGAGAATTTCGCCGCGATCCCAACTGTCTGTTATCAGCCTGCAGCCAGGGAGGAGAAATCAGCTGAGCTGCCTGCTCCCTGCACACAGATGTGTGTGTGAGGAAGTCCGTGGATTGGTCAATTTGGACCAATCAGCGGGGGCTTAACGTAACGGCTCCGCGGACGTAACGTAACGGCTCCACGGATTGGTCCATTTCGTTCCGGGTACGGCTTGACATCATGCCGTCCCGGAAGAATCAAATGGACAATGACGTATCTCCAACGAGGCGTTTTGGGGACGTATTTCTGTGTTAGAGTTTTTACTCGCTATAGGGTGTACTTTGAGGGTTTTGACTCTGCACACCGTTTACATGCATAAAAACCTTCATAACACACAAGGGGACGGGTAATAACCGGAAAAGCATGACACCTCTCCTTTAAATAATTATGATTCGTCATCACGCTCGTGACCCCGCGGTGAGCTGGGGGTGTGTCAGTGAGCCAGCTCGCCGCCCGCCGATTTTGCGGCAGCTCTTTCTCTCAAGAACGCTAACGAAAAAGCTCTATAATGGCAGGCAAATAGAGAGTTTTAAAAAGAGAGAAAAAAAAGAAAAGAAAAAAAAGCAGCGCTGTCTGCTTAGTTGCAATACTGTAGCTTATGCAACTTAGGCCTATACATTGTTTATGTGCCAGTGTGTCCATGGTTTTGAGTCTGTGTGTGTGTTGAGCGCAGCACCGTCTGCTTTTTGCAGTACAGTAACTAAAGTAGGACTAAGCATACCGGTAGTTTCTGTGGACCTGTCTGCCCGTTTTGTGAGTGCACTGCGCGCTTGCGCACTTGTGTGGCATTGTTTGGGATGACCTAATTAAAATAGTGTCCCCCCAGTAAAAAAATCCCACTACACCACCGTGTGGTGTGTGTGTGTGTGTGTGTGTGTGTGTGTGTGTGTGTGTGTGTGTGTGTGTGTGTGTGTGTGTGTGTGTGTGTGTGTGTGTGTGCCCCAAACAGAGGCACTACAGACATGATTTTCACTACTCGCCAACTGCAAGAAAAATGCCTGGAACAAAATCAACCATTATACATGGCATTTATAGACCTCACCAAAGCCTTCGACTCAGTGAACCGTCAGGCCCTCTGGCTGGTACTGGCAAAGATTGGCTGCCCAGAAAAATACGTCCGGGTACTGAGACTGCTGCATGACAATATGTCAGCCACGGTACTCAGTGGCAGTGGAGACGAAACTGAACCCTTCCGGGTCGACACAGGAGTCAAACAGGGATGTGTCATCGCTCCAACGCTATTCTCCATCTTTGTTGCTGCTATCCTACATCTCACAAGCAAGCATCTGCCCCAGGGAGTCAACATCATGTACAGAACTGACGGCCAACTCCTCAACATCAACCGTTTCAGGGCTAAAGGTCAAACCACCACCATATCGATCATGGAGCTGCAGTATGCGGACGACAACGCCCTTGTAGCCCTCTCGGAAGAGGACCTACAGGGTATCCTATCAGCCTTTGCGAAAGCATACAAACAGCTTGGTCTAGCCATCAACATAAAAAAGACTCAAATCCTCCACCAACCACCACCAAACAGCAGTACGCCTGTCCTACCCCCAAACATCTCCATTGACAACATCAGACTGGAAAATGTGGACTACTTCCCATACCTTGGCAGCCTCCTATCATCAAAAGCTGTTATTGATGATGAAATACACCATCGCCTCAGCTGTGCCAGTGGGGCTTTCTCAAGGCTAAGGAAGAGAGTCTTTGAGAACCGTGACCTCCAAGCAAAGACCAAAATATTGGTCTATAAAGCTGTGGTGCTCCCCACTCTTCTGTATGGATCAGAAGCCTGGACCACATACAGCAGGCACTTAAAGGCACTTGAGGCATACCATCAGAGATCCCTCCGAAAAATCCTCAGGATTAGCTGGGAGGATCGGCGCACTAACACCAGCGTCCTGGAGGAGGCTGACATTCCCACCATCACTGCACCATTGCCCAAAACCAGCTCAGATGGACTGGCCATGTTATCCGCATGCCTGACTCTCGCCTCCCAAAACAAGTCCTTTATTCCCAGCTTGTTAAAGGGAAACGGGCCCCTGGAGGCCAAAAGAAGAGGTACAAAGATAACATAAAAACAAACCTAAAGAAGTGCCACATAGACCTAAAAGCTTGGGAAGACATGGCAACAGACAGGGCGACCTGGAGAAACCTTGTCCGTGAGGGTGCTGCACTATATAATGATGACCTCTGCCTTGCTGCACAAGATAAGCGCAGACTCAGGAAGGAGAGAGCAACCATCAAAACAGGTCCAACCCAAACCCTCCACCACTACATTCCCCTGTCCCACACTGCACAAGAATAATCGGGTCCAGAATCGGCCTCTATGCCCACCTGAAGACCCACAAGGACCAAGAAGGAGGACAGTCATACTCGATAGAGTGAAGCCGATGATGTGATTGTGTGGTGTGTGTGGGGGTGTGTGTGGGCGTGTGTGTGTGTGTGTGTGGTGTGGTGTGTGTGTGTGGGTTGTTGTGTGTGGGTGTGTGGTGTGTGTGTTGGTGTGTGGGGGTGTGTGTGTGTGTGTGTGTGTGTGTGTGTGTGTGGTGTGTGTGGTGTGTGTGTGTGTGTTGTGGTGGTGTGTTTCCAGTCTAACGGCGTGTATGATGGGAACTGAAGAAGCTGCTGTATCCCAGAGGACGCAAAGATTCAAAGATGGCCACCATTCTCCCTCTGCTGGAGTTTGTGGCTTGGTCCCTGCTGTCAGAGGACACTGAGGTGTCTGTGAGGAAATATTTTATTTAAATTGTACTGTTAATGATACAAAACCAATGTAAGAGTGAATTGCTATTGATGAATATGACCCTACAGGAGGCTGTATCCAAGCTGTGGCTGCCAACCAAAAGAAGGCTGGAGGACAGGATGTGGAAGCCCCAGATACATTCCAAACCAGGTGACTCCTCCACTGCCTGTGGTTAGAAAAGTCCTTGAAATAAAGATGAGTTTCTCTTTGATTAGCCTTCAGAATCAGCATCAGATAAATCCTTTATTTGTCCCTAAGTGGGGAAAGTTACAAATGTACAGCCTAAATATCCTATTATTGTGATAAATGACTGCTAATATTGTCACTACTCTCCATGAACAATAGTCTCATGGTCCACATTTTTCCACACTCACAACCTAACTCAAAGACTGCACTGTGTCTGTGTCAGACCCTTGTCGACTCATTACTGGGTTCCCTCAGGGCTCCGTCCTAGGACCCCTCCTTTTTTCTTTATACACTGTAGCAGCTAAATAATAAAGGAATAAAGCATAAAATTAACTCAAAATAAAACTGCTGCAGGGCGTCGGTAAGCAAATCTTTCGCTTCTATCAACATCGGAACCTCTATTATTTTCCGGACTGAGACTGAGATTGGGTGTGACACTGTACGACCAACTAGCCTGACTGGTTTTCAACTTCTCCAAGTTCTCCCACACTTCTCCACTCCTTTCACTGGCCACATGCCCAAAAGACTGCTCCCAGGACTCTAAAGTCCACCATGACTCCCAGAAATGGATA